CGTCGGCCTTCTGGGGCCCAGCGCACCGATTGACCATGGGATGCCTCGTAAAAGTATGATTTACAACTCGCTGCCGCTGCCCGACTGCCGCTGCCTGCCCGCCTGGCAATCACTTGGCCGTGGATCCTCGTCGTCGCGCCTCGTCGAAGCTCTTCTCATGGCTTCTCTCCGCGATAGTCTCGCGCTCTTTCTCTTTCGAGCATCACCTTTTCCCCGACTCCCTTTCGCCCCGATCACACACACACACACACACACACACACACTCTCTCTCTCTCTCTCTCTCTCTATCTCTCTATCTCTCTCTCTCTCTCTCTCTATCTATCTATCTATCTATCTATCTATCTATCTCTCCCTCTCCTTCTCTACGTATCCCTCTCCTTCTCTACGTATCCCTCTCCGTACCAACGGCTCCGCAATTGCCGCGCGAACTCTTTTCGTCAATTTATTCGATGCAAGGCCGAACACTGATTTACCGTCGCGTCAGCTCGCGGCCAGGAGCTGCCATGCGGCCGATGTAACGCGGGGATTAATGAGTTGTCGCCGCGGATGATGGGAAGGAATGCTTGACTGATGTGCGCCTCCCCGTGGCCCCGGCGAACTTACACTTAAGAATATCCTCGGGCGTGCTGAGCGCGGCACAATGCTGCTCCCATTGAAAAATCACCTTGTTCTCTTACCGCTTCATTTCTACTCTCGCGATGATGGATAACACGTTAGGGGCTAATTCCTCTCTGGCCCTCTTTTCTTTCTTCGCGAGTAATTATTTTGTCGCAACGCATTCTCAAATTCAATTTTGCAAATCCATAATGATATTGTGTCTCATTCCTTCTTAATGCAGCATTGCGGTTGCGCGCTGAGAGTGAAATTACGATTGCAAACTATAAACAACCGTCGGAGCTTCTTTCATATGGCCAAGTCTACGAGATTCTTTCCCGAGAGCTGCTTTAGCTTTGTTCCCTAAGATAATTAATAATAATACTGTTGCTCCTAATAGGGACGGTTGTGGTACGTGGTATGCCGAAAATTGCCAAGGAAATGATATGCTTTAAGCTAAGGGAAATATTTACTTGCGTATTTTCGTAAATTCCAATATCAAGAGCCCCGTACGATTACAAGTTGAAACGATTTTTAATATAACCAGCGCCATCGAAGCGATCATAAGGACATTTGCAGAAAATGAACTTTGTACGTTATAAGGATTAAATTTTTGTAACAAGACAGCTTCGATAAAAATAAAGAATTATTCTTATATGGATTAGTGACATTACGATTGAAACGGCTGTAATTTAAAGGACAAGTTCCTTTCCAAAAATCCACCACAATACTAAATGTCCCCCACTAATAATGTTAATCGTTAGCCTTCCAAATAAACATATTATAGTTAGAGATGTTACAAAATTTATTATAAATGTGCAATGATTAATGTATTCATGTACTAAAACGTGAATGTTTGTAAGTATTAAAGGCTAGTAGACGCAATCAAAATAATACCATTTAAATTGCAACCGTTGATATTCAATTAATATATGAAATTACATTAATAAGAATAATATTTTAGATTACAGGGGGGAATTAGTGATTGTGAGATAATTACATATACGAGCTGTCTTACAGATTCTCAAGAATATTAATTTTAATGCTCGACTTATGTTTTTTTGTAATAGTTTTTTTTTTTTTTTTTTTTAATAAACACGTTCAATTTTAATTATAAATTTTGCAATCAATTTCGTAGCTTGAATTAGCAATATTACGATTAAATGATCGTTAATTAGGATTTTCAATTTTAAAACTTATGGTTAAAATTAAAAATTATCTTGATAATGAATTAAAATTGGTAAATTGCAACAACTTAAAACTATGTAAAACCAATGTTGTTTAAAATAATTTCTAATTTGACTTAATACCATGAGAATGATAGATTCTTTAAAATTTTCATTTATTTCAATTATCCGTTAATAAATGACGATGGTAAAATTTAATGGGAATATTTCTATCTACAAGTATAATAACAACATTATACGAACGTATAATTGAAAATATATTTTTCCAATTTTTCTGTATAAATTTCGTCCGTCTTTTGTAATGTTGAATTAATATATAATTTTAACGATAATTTTTAAATCGTTCGTACGAATACTATAAAAATACACATTGCCATAATGGGATATTCGTTGAATTGTTAAACTAATATTCATTTGTATGCCTAAGTGAATAAGTTTCATAGTGAATCTTATCATCTTGAAAACAGATCTTAAGATGATTTATATTATGACTGAATCGTAAAATGCGATATATTTATAAAAATATTCAAGTTTGTATTGAATAAATAAAATTTTAATCGAGTCATGCAAGGCATAATAAGACTTTACGATTAAAAAAGAAGTCACAGCTGAAAGGTTTAATTACTGCACATATTAAATTTTATTCTAGGAACTGTGTGCTATGTCTACGTAAGGTGAGACTTTTAAAATGCAACTTTATTACTCTGAGTTTATTGCAATGAAACATCACTGAGAGTTGTTACAAGTGAAAGGAATGTTACATTAGCGGTTGGTGCGTAATAGCATCAAATTAACAATTATGAAGACTGGTTACCGACTATATACCCGTATAAAAATTATTTTACGATCTTAAATAATTTTACTAATATCAATAATGCTTAATATGGGTAGATCAACTTTTTGTGGCCAGTTAAACGGAAACTCAGCCTTATTAAAAAAAGTATAATAAATTTGAGCGGCATCATTTTAAATATTATCAACAAAGAAAGTGTAAACAAGATTTTACAAAAAATTGTATAATTCACATTATACGGATAATAAAGCATTTACTGAGCGGTTAACTATAGCAATGCATGCAATTAAAAGATATTTTAACTTAATGATTGAAAAGAAATTATCAAGTAAATTTAAAGTGCATTAATTTTTTTTTTTCTTCTTTTTTTCTTCTTTTTGAAAAAGCATTACCGTTAAACTTGAATTCCATGCACTGTTTCGTACAATTATTAAGTAGATTGATGATATATATATATATATATATTAATATATATACACGAATGCGTACACACGCGCGCACGCGCACGTATTTTACACGTATACATTGTGAGTATATTGTGACGCATTTCATCATGATAAATAAATTAGAGATGACCTTATGCAGATTGAAACTTGCCATAAACATGCGAAGAACTTAAAAAGATACTTTGGTTTTAACACAGGCACAAGTGGAGCCATGTGATATAAAATTAATTTGTTCCCATTATTGAAAAGCGAGTAATTTGAAATATCTTGATCTAGACGCGTGAATTGCGCATTAAACAAATGAGAGAAAAAGAAAAGAAAAATTACTACAGTCGATGGGCAAAAAACTACTTTCATTGCCTCCGTGCAGAAGAGTAGTCGTTTATCTTTAGAACGAGTTCACGCTAACGGCTGCACCAGGGGTAATAATTACAACGTCTGAATATTCGATACACCGCGAGAAACCCTTTCATTAGCTAGTCGCATTCCCAAGGCCCGAGACTACTAAAAGTCTCGCGCTGCATCGCTGCAAATACTTCACAAAGCACTGGCTTTAACGTATACATGTGTATAAATACATACATAGGCGATAGTGCCGTCGTATTTCATAGGAGCGTGGTTATATTTTCGCGCGTATGACTTTAACTGTCGATGCGGACTGCGTGGCACGTTGTATTTTTCCTTAGCGGGATTTTACTGGCGCTAGTCCGGATAGTCGTCGCCTCTTCTCTTTCTCTCCCTCTTTTTTAGCCGTAAACGTCAATCTTTTGGTTGACCGGCTTGAGCTAAAGCGACCGCGTGCACCAAGATTCGTCCCTCCCTTGTCTCAACCTCGCCGTTCTCCCGTCATTTCTCCTCGCCGCTGCCGCCACAAACACACACACGCACGCACGCACGCACACACAGAGAGACCTCCTCCTCCTCCTCCTCGTCCCGCCAAAGGTTACTTTTTCCAAATCGTATGGAAGTTTGCCAACCCCATCCTTCTTCTCCTCGTTCCCAACAACCCCACCCTATCAACCGCCCTTCGCTCCACCCTTCCACTCGCTCCCTCTCTCTCTCTCTCTCTCTCTCTCTCTCTCTCTCTCTCTCTCTCTCTCTCTCTCTCTCTCTCCCCGTCATAATTATTTTATTTATTCGGTCCTCCGATTCTTCTTTAATCCGTAACTCATAAAACGACTAATACCTTAAGTTTCTCTTATAAAATATTTATGCATGAGCTGCGCAAGTGGAGAGGCAATTTTGGACGCACAGTAGACTCCTGATAATTTTCTTCGTTCTGGGCTACATGGGCGGACGCTTCCAAGAAATGGGGCTTTACCCAGTGCCAAGCGCGCGCGCGAGCGTTCATTTTGTAGTCATTTTATTTACAAGCTCGGAGGAAGGAAAAACAAGGATAGCGCGTATGTAATTAATGCACTTTGGGACGAAACGAATGTAAGGAAGAGTGCTCCGACAGCAGCACCTTCCTAAACTTATTGTTTTAAATAATTAAGTTTCATAAAGTAAGTTATTTGCCTTAGACACAAATTATTCATACATGATTGATTTTCCATCACAAAACATTAAACAATATTTACGTATTTTGTTCCCATCATTTCTGTACATAATTAATTACCGCGTGTTTCGACATATGTTTTTATTTTTATAACCAATGGCATGATATTGACGATTGAAGTTCTTAATTGATAAGCGCAGCGTAATAAGCTATTTGTAAACTAAATTTTACAAATTTGATAAATTGGTTTTAAAGATTCATTTATACAAGTTATTTATAATATTTAATTTGAAAATTGCTACGAACGTGAAACGCTCGTTCATCTTTAACAATAAAAATGGCAACAAAATTTTACTTTAACAATGTATTATCAATTATTTTCTGTAAAATAAAACATAAAAATAGCTAAATTACCTATTAATTATATAATTAACCGTTTAGATATATTACATATATGTACATATATACGTAAATAACATTACCTGGATAACTATAATAAGTGTCCCTATGATAATGGCCCTGTAAAAACATACAACTGAATTAATCTAATTATCAGAGACTGAAAAATTATACTAGAATTAGTACAATTTTATTGTGAATCTATAAAGTGTAATTATAAAAAAAAAATAAATAAATAAAAAAAACAATGCTGTGATGATGGAGTTCTTGAAACATTTTTATGCGATTGTATTAAATTTTGAAATGAACGTTGTTTCATTAATTTAAAGAAGTTCATTAATTTTTTTTTAGTTTTTATTTAATTTTTTAAATTAATTCTCATTAATTTAAAGAATTAATTTAAAGAATGCTCCCTACGTAACATTCACCGCTTATCAACAATAAAATTTCATACGATTAATTAATTATAATCTCAATTTGAATGGCAAATTTTTTGTCTTTTATTCATAAAATTTTTTTAATTCGCGCTTCGTAATAGCATAACAACAATGATAATGCAAAACCAACATTAATCCGCGAATCATGTATAAAATTGCTGAAGGCATAAATTTTATATAAAAAACTTTATTAAACTATAAGAATCGCTAGAAGGGAAATCTTCTTTCATTAACAGATGGACTTTTGAAAATTGGTGAAATCATATAAAAAAATCTGAATAAATAAAGAAACTATCAGTTCATTTCTTCGTTCCATCTCCAACAACCTTCCCGTTCTGGTGTATGCTTCATTACGAATGCAATAAGGTAAATTTTTTGTAATGTGTACATATAAATGACGGCAACCGCGTAGGCGTTCCGCAAGCGGAAAAAAAGTTATGATGCACTTTTATGAGGGTTTAATTGTAATCCACGAGCATGGTTAGAAAATGCTAAAGCCCTTTAGTTGAAGCCGCATAAACCAGATCCTCTCGATAATGGCGTCACTACATAAAAGGCTCAAATGAAAGAAAGGAAGAGAGACAAGCAGAAAGAAAGGTAGAGTATGTGAGAGAATGAGCGAATGAGTGAGTGAGTGAGCGAATGAGTGAGCGAATGAGTGAGCGAATGAGTGAGCGAATGAGAGAGAGAGAGAGAGAGAGAGAGGGAGGGAGAAGGCAAGAAGTGGGGGAGAGTTTATTTTAAAACTTTGAGAAATATGCTCTATTATACGTTGAACAATAGGAGATACAAATGCGCCCTTACTTTTTCAAAGTACACACCGGAATATATATTTTCTGTACTGCCTGCAGTGAGCAATATGTGCACTACGGTAAAAATTAATTAGTATGTACGCAAGCACATAACCATGTTTATAGTTACTATATAATCTACAGCTATCACCGATGTAAGTACACGATACTTTAAATATCGTTTATTAATCGAGGCATATTGTACAGAAAAAAAAAAGTCTTATTAAATAGATGTTTGAGCAAACAATACTCGTCGACCAATAAAATTCGAGAAATCAAGGATCTAATAATTGATGACGATCTTGTATAAAATTTAATATCAATAATTTATTAACTATTACATAAGCATATATAAAAATAATTTTTCTATAATTATTATTATTATTATAATATATTTTTAAGTGTATTACTACGTTACTAGGATTATTTTTATTCGCAGATTGATGAGACTAAACTATGCAAGATAAACTTACATATAATCCCCGAGAAACTCATTGTTACAAGCGACATTTTACCCGCGCAATCTTCGTAGAGATTGCTCGACTAGTTTAGACTACAAATAGATAGAACTACAAATGTATCCTAGAATATTAATGTCTCATAATTATTTGATCTATCAATGAACGAATAGTATGAATAATTCTAACGAGTAATAATAACAATCTTCATACATTTATTCTTAAAAATTTATTATTATTTATTTGCAGTATTTAAAGTAACAATAATTATCGGAACTTGCGAGTTAATAATGAAGATATTGGAGCTACTATCAGAATAGATATTTTGCCAAGAAGGCGATCACCCGGAACAGGGCCCACAATGTTTTAAATATAACCAATATACAGATTTATGACGAAGATGTTTCGACGTTCATACTCAAGTTACATGCGATGAGTGGCACACCTAAAAATGATGTAAATATATATATATATATATATATATATATATATATACATATGCGCGCGCGCGCATGTCTGTGTGTTTGCATGCTCATCGGCGTTAAATGGCATCAAATAACCTATCTGCATTAATATGTGCAGTGTGAAACATCATCCATAAAAATTTTTGACTACACTATGTTGTAGGTATCTTATTTCATATAACACGATAGATTTATTAGGTTACAAACTCCCAAATTTTAATGCTGTCTTACCAGAATTCATTAAAGGCATTACTGCAACAATTAATGTGACAATCATTATTATGAATGTTTAAATCAATTTTGATTATCATCGGTTGACTGATATATCTGTCATTAAACCTTACATTCCTTACGCCATTTATCGGACAATACAAAAGGTACTTCAAATCAATTTTTAACAGCACATTAAGAATTGCACTATTTTCAAGATGAACGAAAATCACGATATATCATATTTGTTTTAGTTCCTGTCATTTTTATTACATCTTTTTATTAAATTAAATGAGAGAGAAAAAAATTATTCATATTTCAATAATCATAGAGAGAATTGATAGATGTTAAATAAGAAAGGAAAATCTTTGTTAAGAATGGACGATGCAAAAAATATTGCACCGTTGCAGATACTAATTCATTTCGGTATAATTTTAATCAATTTTAATCAAAAACATAAGCATCATCACATACAAACAAAAGTTCTTAAAAATCATTCTAAAAATCATTCATTAATGAGTCTATTATGGTAAAGTTCACGAGAGAATTCGTACAATTAATGATAATTTTTGAAGGCAGAACTTCTACAATATTCAATATAATTTTTTTAACGCGAATAGAAATAGCGTGAAGTATCTTTACTACTTAGTTAGTACTTTACCATTTATCCTCTAGTCGCCCCTGAATCTGCTTAAAACGTTGATTTTTATTGATTAATTATAATAAAATCCTTATAAATTCATGTTATCATAGATAAATAGCTTTAAGTAGAATTTATAAAAGTACTTGTTCGAATGATATAATAATAGGCATATGATACAAGCCATAATGTAGTATGTACAATATAAAATTAATGAGTCCATTAAATTTCTGTACATAAAATAATTGCATAAAATTAAGCTTACTCTGCTAGTGTATTGTTTCGTGCATTCTGTAACAATAACATACTTGAACATCTAGACATCTAGGCATTGTTCTAAAAGCTTTTAAGAAATATTTTATTTATAATTTTATTTACTTACGAACAAACGCTTTATAAATTAAAATATTTTTCTCTTTCAATGTTCAATTCAATGTTCTGTTGTAATTGATCTGTTTGTTATATGCAATTTGAATACTAATGTCAATTAAGTTAATTAATATTTTCAATTTACGTCCTTACAATAATTTCGTGTAAAATATATTAAAATTCATTTTCAACTAAGTTTTAAATATCACTTTTTGTTTGACATACTCAAGATTCATTGCAAAAAGTCCTCGTGCTCAATGTACAAATGTTATCAGTATGTTTGTAAACTTACATTTAAATATCAGAAACATAGACTATAAACTTCATTATTTTTATAATTCAATTACATAATAAATATAGTAAACACGTTAATAATGCCTACAAAAGTTTGCCTTCGCATAGAACCAATAATCTTTTTAATAGAATAATTTTACACGACAAGGTTTACTGAAAACTTATTAACCAATCCACGATAATGACTAGTTGCTTGCTGAAAAAACTTTCTAAAACTTATTAATATGAGATAATCTATTTTCACCATCGCAAGCGACAATTTATCTCATTAAAAATATCCGAAGATTCGACTTTGAATAATATACATATATATATATATATATATATATATATATATATATATATTACAAGAACATTTTTTTCTTTCTATCTCGACTTGCATGATAAGCGCACTGATTTAAAGCTCGTCACAGATAGTAGAAACAAGCATAGAGGGGAAGATGAAGTGCCCGAGGCACCGTAGTGATTTCGAATTAGCTACGAGCTGTCTCATAAAATAAGAAAGTTTACGCACGCACCCTGCTAAAATAAACGAAGGTTTGGGCCTTGTGTTGCTCTGTGGTTGCGAGTGCAAAAGTGAGAGAAAGAGAGAAATATAACTGGGAAGTAGAAAAAGAAAACAAGTAAACTTAATGCAATGGAGAAGAGCGGGAAGAAAAAGTTACGACGAAGAAAAACTCCCAATGCTCCGCATGCATAGAGGGAAAACCCACGAGAGCGCGGGTTGTAAAGAGTTTCTCGCTGCATTTACGACTGTCGTTAAATTTTCTCTCCCTCTCTCTCTCTCTCTCTCTCTCTCTCTCTCTCTCTCTCTATCTATCTATCTATCTATCTATCTCACGCACGTACACACGTGCAAGCACACACACACTCGCACACTCACACACTCACTCTCACTCTCTCTCTCTCTCTCTCTCTCTCTCTCTTGCTCTCTTCCTCTGAGATCTCTTGTTTTGCGGATATTTTCAACAAGGAAGAGAGAGAGAGAGAGAGAGAGAGAGAGAGAGTTGTTGTTCAGCTGCCGCTGAATCGTTTCAAGCCATTGATTACATTGATACCACTTGCTGCGCGAAGCAAAGTGAAGCCACTCGCTCTCATTCGATCCAATACACGTATGCACTGCAAGTGCCCATATACGTTTATGTCTATTTACGTTTTTTCCTATTTATGTTTGCATATAATTTACGGTGTGTGCGAACGTGTACGTGCATAGGCATTTATATTTATTGCCAGGATGGACGCGCGAGCGCGCGCGCACGTGTATAAAGGATTCTCGCGAGAAGGATCGTATTATACGGAATGTCGGGCATTTAAAATGTGCGAACGACCATTGGATAGGTACGTGTGTAAATACATTGAACGAAAATAAATATAATATGTGCATGTAAGTATGACAAAAAAGAGGATTGAAGTTACTCGTAGAATTGAGAATGATATCTTTATTCGCGTTGCTGTAA